AAAAAAAAAAGAACACGCACCGTTCCGAGTGGGGAGTGGAGGACGGAGGAGAAGCTGCTCTCGCCTTCCGCGCAGTGCAATATTTAAAAGGAGTAGCGCGTGCTGCTGCCCGGAGATTCCTGCAGTCTGAACCCCGGCGCGCGGCGACCGCAGGCAGTTCGCGTCCAAGGTAAGAGACTGACGCTGCGTCCACATTGTTGCTGCCATCGGCGGCTGCTCCGTGTTTGATGTGCGTGTGTGTGTATGTGTGTGCGTGTGGTTTTGTTTTGTTTTGTTTTTACCACGATGTATTGATTTATAATCGTGCTCCGGGGAGAGGGCGAATGAACGGACAACCCGATCTGCGATACCGGATCGGCGTGGGCTTTGATTTTTTTGTTGTTGTTAGAGTGTGAGAAATCCGAAATAAGAAAACAGTTTTTTTTTGCCGTCGTTTTTAATGGTCGTTTTCGTGTAGTTCGCGGTGTGTTACAGGCGCTTTAACAAAGGCCCCGCGGTCGAGACACCTGGTGTGCCTTTGGGAAATACCACATTTCTAAGAAGGAAAGAAAGAAAGAGAGAACTAGTTCCCGTACATCAGTGTGTGTTGGTATTACAAGGACGTACAAAATGTCTTCCAATTGTTATTTCATTCTGGGCACACGTTACTGTGCGACTGAGCTGGCTGTACCTAGCCTGGCGGAGTACGACCTGCCTGCCCGATGTCTGGCAGTCACGTTTTTTTGAGGCTCTTTTTTTGTGCTATTTACCCTCCTCGTACTTTTCTGCGTCTTGTCACTCGAGATGGGGATGCCGTGAGAAATGTTTTTGTGCTGTAGCGAGGGTATTTTAAATGGTGCTGGTTGGATACCTGCCGAGCTCTGGAGACCTGTACCCAGCATGCGACGTGAATGATGCCGCGGTTTCGTGACGAAAAGCAAGATTGGCCAGTTTCGTAGTTTTGTTTTTCTCCCCCAAGGATGTTGGCTTCTGATGATGAAGCCCGTCAAAAGAATTCAGCAGAGCGAGTCAGAAACTGTTAAGATCTAAGTTCTTGGCTGTAGAGTACGCTTTCTCTGGTAGATGGAGTAGTTATTACAGTAGAAAGTTTCCAGGTGTTGAGCATGTATCTTGTCGGTAGTTGGCTATGGAGGCAATTTTGTGTACACTTTTTTTTGTCGTCTCCTCGGAATTCAGCACAGACTTTCTTGTTCTCGGAGGGCTACGATTATCGTATTGTAGCCCACTTTTGAGACGGCGTCCACCAGCGCACTGAACCCCCTCATCCGATCGCGTCTTGTGGCGGACAGCTGGGTCGATACCACACCTCCACCTGCTCCTCACAGCACGGATCACTCGCCCATGGCTGTCCACCAAAACTCAGGCAGCGTGTGTCGGTGACATTTGTTAAAAGCCCTGTGCAAAAACGTCATCGGACTGACCGCCTGACCCTATCGTTTGTCACTGCAAGAGTTTTAAAAAGAGTTCGCTCAGAAATGGAGACGACTGCCCAAATGCCATTGACTAATCTGTTACCTGTTAGCATCTGCGAGCAGGGCTGCATCTCGGTTTTGTTCAGAGACGGCGGCGGCTCTCAGTGTTGATTACTCATAATATGCTAAAGTTCAGATGGCGTTTTGTGTTTTCACGAGTGCGAGGACCCTGAGCTCACTCTGTCCATGTGGGTGGGTAGCGTTCGACCCGGGGTTGCTGACTGTGCTGTGAATTATTGATAACGGTACATGACATTTTGTGCCAAACTCTGTGCTTAAGACCTGTCGAGAGAAATATGCTAGTGCAGACTTATGCTCGGGTGTGACATTTTGCTTTCAGTAAGTGATTTAGTAATAGATCACTCCTGGGGTGACATGAGGGTATTTTTTGTTTGTAGGAGTTAGAGTGAGTAATATTTTGTGAGGTGACTTTGGAATAAAAAAAAAGTTAACTCTAAGTGAGTGCTGCTGTGTTCTGTTACACTGTGTAGTAGTTCATGATGCTTTCATACTTATGTGCTTTAGTGCTTATTGTAATAAAAGCTCCAGAGACAGGTCAGTGCTGTGTGTATCCTGCTGTGGGACTCATTTCTCTTGGAGGGGCTGAAACGCCCTGGCGAAGTACCAGTTCTCTGATCAAGGGACTCGGCGATGTCTGGGGTGAAATGAATTTTGTGTGGCCACTGTTTCTTTCAGACGCGGGGTTGAAATGCACGCGCTGGCGCTGTGCGGATAGTTTCGGGATTGTGCCCTTTCTCTCCTGTGCGTCAGGGTGAGACTCGCTTGTGCCCTCTGCCCAGCTCAGTCAAGGCTGTCCTGTCTGCTGCGAAACCGTCGCCTGCCGAGCTTTTCGAGAGGCAAGTTTGATTAGGCTGAATGTGGATGGCCTTGCCAACTCATTGAACACCCCTCTCTCTCACACACACACACAGATCTGGTAGCTCTCCCATCTTTTTTTCCCTGTTCTCCTAAACGAGGAGTGTCCTGAGCTCGGCTCGGCCCCGCCCCGCTGCCAGTGGTCCGACTGGTCAGTCTTGCCACGTCTTTCCAGCTCGGGGGGGCTGGGTGGATGGACGTGCTAGGACAATTGCGTGCTCTGTGCCCCCCTCCTGCCCGAGCTGCCCCACTCTCTCAGCCTGGGACGCTGCGAGTGGGAGAAGAGAAGGGGAGCAGCTGGGTTGAACTGTGATGCGTCTCTGTCTCGCCCCTGGCTGCAAGGTCAGGATCCGAGAACCTCAGACAGGTTGGGAACGAGAGGAGGCCAGTCGGCCCATCTGTGCCGCTTGCTAAATAGTGGTTATTGATCCAAGGAACTCATCCCACTATTTCTTGAAATAAGATATGGTATTGGCTTCAACAACATGGGAAGTGTGTCGCGGAACCCGATACCTTGTTCCATACTCCCGCTACCCTTTGTGTAAAGTAACACCTCAGACCCACTTTGCCTTCAGCACATGGCCCATCTTAAGCATGGCACTACACACCACTTCAGTGCGGTGCTGCAGTGGGCACAGTGATGTTATCCGGGGAACTTTTAGGGAAATCCTGTGCCATTACGCTGTTCTTTTCCGTGTTAAAGAATCAGGTTCTGAATGCTCCTCTAAATGATTTTTTTTGAAATTGTTGTTGCAGGGCGTGCACGCCAGTATTAAACTGGGCTTCACTCGGGCAGATGCCTTGCAGAAACCTTGCATGGTCAGGGTATATAACCTGCATGTGAATGAGGGGCATCTAAAAACCTAACGGCACACAGCCGATCTCCGCTTCTTTACTTCCTAGTTGTAAGACAGGGTTGAAGGTGAGGATGAGGCTGCTTTTTTTGGTCAGCGGCATGAGTGCCTCTCTAGCCCTGCCCCTCAGCTCCTCTCTCGCAGGCTGCTGTCCCGCTGAATGCCAGCTCACACGTGCCAGTCTGCCAAGACCTCTGGCTTTTTATAACCACCCAGGAGACTGTGCAATGTGAGCAGCGCTGAGCTTGTCTGCCGGGCAGGAGCTATATTTAACTCCATGGCGGACAGACAATGGCGCTTCACAGCGAGGCCAGGGCGTCCCTGGTGGCACAGCAGACACAGGCTGGCTCCACGAGCAGGGGGGGAGCCGTGATGTGCAGGAAACATCAGTACCTTGGTCTAGTAAGCATGAGTGTGTAGAGCAACCTGGGGGGTGGGGGGTGGGGTTCAGTCACTTGGCTGTGGCACTGACAGCAGGCACCACGAGGGGCTGGCTCGCCCTCCTGGGGTCTAGAACGTGGCGACGTCTGCAGGGGGGACCCGCAGGAGTGGCTCAGTTCTGAGTAATCAAGGGGCGTGTCCCTCTGCAGAGTCTGGGAGAACAGGTGAGGCAGAAAATAGAACCACATGTACAGAGCAATGGGGGAGGGATCCGCGTCGCTCATTCGTGTGTGTGCGTCTCGGCCGTTTCTGCTCTGGGAAAAGGTGGAAAGGTAGACAGCAGAGGTTTGAATCGCTCATCTTCGGAAAAAGGGACGTGGCGGAGCCCATCCGCGTGCCTAGATCTGCAGACACTGTGTTTTCTGCTGTATTGTGCGGTATCAGTCCTGTGCATGGACGAATGGACTCGGTGTGGCATAATAATAATAATAATAACCACTTTATTAACCTTATACAATTTCTTGTATTCGGAATTTGTCTTTTCGCATACCCCAGCTTGCTCTCCATGAGACACACAGACACACAGATAGGGAGAGAGCCTGGTGTCAGAGCGCAGGGTCAGCCATTGTACGGCGCCCCTGGAGCAGTTGGGGTTAAGGGCCTTGCTCAGGGGCCCAACAGAGTAGGATTCCTCTGCCAGACGCGGGATTTGAACCAGCAACCTTCCAGCCACAGGCGCAGATCCTGAGCCACAGAGCCACCACTCTGCCCCCCCCAAATTGTTTTCAGAGAGCATTGCCCCTCGGTCTCAATCTCTCCCTCCCATCGGCTCGGGCAGCTCTGTAGACAGGACTGAGGTCATTGGAAATAGGACGCTATGATTTCTTTGTGCAATGTCTTGTTTCCAAAACGTTTTGAGTATCGGGGCGCGTTCGCAAATAAAATCACATCCGCAGGGCCCCACGTTGAGACGGGATCCCCCAGCTGAATGTTCTCCTCTCTCCTCGAGAGAGCCAAGCGGAGAGAAGCGCTCTAGAATTGAAATCGTTTTTTACTTCAGCCTTTCCTCCACTCAAGGAAAGACAGTTGAAGCTCAAAGGGGGGTGACGTTTGCACGCAAGACCACATAGATGGTATCTTGTTTCCTGGTTTTTCTCAATGAAGGCAGCAAGACCGCAGCTCTTTCTGTCAGCTTCTCTCTTCGTGTTGAGTGGATGGGGGGGGGCGCAGACAGGCCCCCCGAGATGGGCGCCTGCTCGCTCTTGCGAAATGTCAGGTGGTTTGCAGTGTAACGGGTACAGTGCTCTGCGTGTATGTGTGTGTGTCTAAGCCATGAGCCATGCCATAAACAAATGTGTCTTGGGCCATTTTTGATTGTACCACGGACAAAACCCACCTGGAACCGGGTTCGAAGGGCAGCTGAGGCTGTGCTACATGTGCTCTGAGGAGGTGGGGGGATTTGTCCGGCTTGTCCCTGATCTCTTCTTCGGATGGACCCCTGCTTTGGGGGGAGCACCCCTGTTTCTTGACGTGTGACTGTTTTGGGATCCCCACGGATTCTGGGAGTCTGAGCAGTGTTCCCGGTA